GCTTGTGTTGGCTGTACGCAGGAAGGAGCGAGAGCGTGAAAAGGCGGGGCGGCGTGCTGACGTGAGGCAGATGGACAGGTAGGATGTTTAGGAAGTTGAACCTGCCCTGTGATGCACGCTGGTACAGGAGGGCACACGCTGTTGCAGACGAGCCGTGCATAGGGAGCGTGTGCGTTTGTGATGCGCCGTAGAGTCTCCGCGGGTTTCAAATGAGCGCACAGGCTGCACTGAGACGCGCCACACGCTCCTGCACCCCGGTACAAATTTATTGCCAACAGCAGCGGCCGTAATGAAATATGATCGCACTTGTTGAGTGTCAGACCTCGAGTGAGAGACAAGACTGAGTCCAAACGCGAGTCCGAGACGAGACACGGCGATCTACCCACACGACCTTGGCGATCAACTGGTAGATCACGATCGACGTATTGAGCACCCCTGGCGTAGACTATTAGCAGTGAAAAAAACAGCTTGCTCCTTATGCCCTGACGTGGTTCAGTTCTGTCAGACCTAAAAAGGATCCAGTGGAATATATATGTGTTCTTTCTGTGACAGAGGGGGGTTCTGCTAATGGTGAGTCTGTTCTGTGCTTCTAACTCATTGGAGATGGTTCATGTTAAACTTTTCAGAGATTATCCCTCTGCACGTCATACGCATAAACCGTATATATGAATGGACATATATCCTAACCTCCCATCGTTGTGGTGGTGAATTACTTGGCGGCGCATAAACCTCGATGCAGATCCATAAATCAAATACGACAGCAATGACGGCGATGGCGGCAGTTGAGTCGCAGAACTATACTTCGCCCTTAACTACTCAAATAAAAAACTCGGAACTCGGGATGGCGGACAGGTGCGGTTTTGAAAATTGGTCAAAAAACCGTCGGTGCAAATGGATAGCGGACAGATGATAAGTTTTGTGATGCGGTTGCGGATGAAAAAATAGCCAATTCACGCGTCTCTACTGTTTACATCTCCAAAGCCCAAAGTGAAGAAAAGAAGTGAAGTCAGAAGAAGAAGTGGTAGTTGACAAGTGAACAGCTACCCCAATGTCAGAGATTTTAGGGCTGAAATGATCCAAATGATTCTAGTGAAGGTGTATGGAGTTTGAGAGAAGAACTCAGCCTAAATATGCAGGGTTCGTGCGTTAAAAATGTCTCCAGGTCTGTTTGTGATGAGGAAACAACATCATAACACAGATCAGAAAATAGCGTAATATGGGCCCTTTAACTAAATATAAAAGAGCGTCTTCTTATCATTTGAACGGCTCTTTGAAATGATTCAGACCCCATAAAAGAGCCAAAAGTCCCATCACTAACACAGAGTGAAGTTTCCTCCGTAGGCTTGGAACACTGCAGTGGGTTTTGTCACCATCTAACAGAGTTGTACAAGATTTCCAAACGTGTGAAGAATGTGGATGAGGATTTGTAAGAGCCAGAAAGAATCGCAACTACCTTCCTCTGTCACGGTTTGAAAACAGAAGAATTCAGGTAATGTAGCTCTGAGCTGGCTGTGACAATCGCATTTTTTACTTAGTACTGGGATACAGATAGATCTATAATATTGTGAAGCACTTAAAGGGCCCATAGTACTCAATTTCTCATCTGTTATAATGTCGTTTCCTCATCACAAACAGACCTGGAGTTGTGTTTTGTTTCATTCACACATTTAACACACAAACCCTGAAATGGAAAACACTCTGTTCCACCTTGTGATGTCATGTGGTAATACAGGAAGTGCTCCATTGTGTTTTAAACTCCACACGCCTTCACTAGAATCATTTGGATGATTTCAGCCCTGGAATTGCCAATCTCGACTGAATGAAAGGTAAAAGGTAAATTACCACTTCATGACATCACAAGGTGGAACAGAGCATTTTGAACTTTGGAGATGTAAACACACTAATAATGCAGGAGAACTCAAATATGTGTGAGTGAAACAAAACACAACTCCAGGTCTGTTTTTGATGAGGCAACAGCATTATAACATGACCTAAAGCTAAAGAGTAAATTTTGCATAATAAAGGCTCTGAACCTATTTCTTGAAGTCAAACATAGGTTACGTTCAGACTGCAGCCTGAAGTGACTCAAATCCGATTTTTTCGCCCCTATGCTCCTCTAGCTGATCTTTTAATGACAATCTGAACAACACAGATCTGAGTTTTTCAAATATGACCCAGGCCACTTAAATATGTGCTCCTAAAACCGATACATATCTGATCTTTTGTCATGCAACTTCAGTCTGCACGTCCAGGTCACATTCATCCCACCTACACATCAGGCTCGGAGTCTAGTCAATGGAGGGAAGTGTTTAGGCGACTTCCGTAAACACTGTGACGTCGTCGTGTCGTCCAATGCGCATGCGGGACACGTTTGAGGTGTTTAAAGTTCACACTGGAGATCACATACAAGTCGCATTTACCCTATTTTCTATTAGGCGCTCTGGATTATAAGGCGTACTGTCATAGAATGGTCTATTTTCAAACTTTTTTCACAAATAAACCGCACAGGTCTTTAAACGTTGTGGCGTGTAGGGAGGGTGCTGTCTGGGACCGCTGGATTGTTCGGCGTGTTCGCAGTGACTCAGTTGTTCAGTTGTGTCTAGAAGTGGCACATTGCACTCGCTTTTTCGGTTCGTTCCTGCGTTCCATTCCTCGTCGGCGTGGAATGATGAGTGTGTCTGTGGGTGTTTTTCGTTGCGCGGTCGCTCTCTGTTCCGTGTGTGTTTGCGTGCGCTGCGGGTGGTGTGGCTTTATAGTTTACTGAAGTCGTGCTGGGACACCTGAGTGGATTATGTGTATAGGGCGCTCTGGATTGAGTGGCGCGCAGTCGTTTTTTGATGGGGTTGGAGGCTTGAGAGCGCGCCTAATAGCCCAGAAATACGGTAATTAACTAACCCTAATCTGAATGTAGCCTAAGTCAGCTGTGTCCTTTCACATCTAATTATAATCTGTTTATTTGATCATCAGGAAGTGCGGTTTGGCAGCATTTTATGTGATGACAGAACTCCGCTCTGGCCTCTAAAAGTTGTAAAAAGCACTTATAAACTCATCATGGTGAATAATTAAGATGCGCCGAATGTATAAGGTAAGTGAGAAAGAACTCTGGACAACTGCAAACTGTTTGAAATGAACTATTTCTGTTTTATGTTTTAATTTGATATCCAGATACATAGTGATGCCTCCATGTAGTTAACATTCACAATCAATACTTCATCGATTCAGGCATCATCAGGCAACACTTTGACATAAGACCACATGACTCACCACAGAACCTTTTCATCACACATTTACACACACGTACACACTCACGTGCACTCACACGCACAAACACAGGTCTATCACAATAATAACTACAGCGATTTTTGGAGTCAGTTTCGTCATTTCTCTTGGTCTGTACTAATATTACATTTATTTATATTTTTTTAATTAGCTAATAATTTTGATTAATTCCTTTAGAACAGCTATTTGAGGATAATGCTGCTTTTTGGTGATTGTGGCAGTGGCATAAATTTGTTTTAATATTGTCGTTTAGAGCTGAGGTCATCAAACTAAGGCCAACTATGGTTCTCCACACCCCTTGGACCAGCCCCCAGCCTCTCTGCCCCCCAACACTTGAACTGGCCCTATGAGGCAATCCTCAAATGTTGTCATGGCCTATTTTTTTTAATTACTTTTTGGCATATGCATTTGGTATCTGCATCTTGTATTTTGTTGATTTTTTCAATTAAAAAAATATATTTTATGAAGTATTTATATTTATATTTAAATAATTATGAAGTATTAACATTTGCCGTCAAATTTTCGTCACGTCACAAACTCGAGATCAGTGACAGTCAACGCATGTGGAGAGTTCTGTAGTGCAGTTAATGACAGAGTACTGTAGTGCAGTGTAGTGCAGTAGTAGTGAGTAGAGTACTGTAGTGCAGAGTACTGTAGTGTACAGTAGTAGTGTACAGAGTACTGTAGTGCAGAGTAGAGTACTGTAGTGCACTGTAGTGCAGAGTACTGTAGTGCAGAGTACTGTAGTGCACTGTAGTACAGAGTAGTGCAGTAGTACAGTAGTGCAGTTGAGGACAGAGAGTACTGTAGTGCAGAGTACAGTTGCAGAGTACAGAGTACTGTACAGTGCAGAGTACTGTAGTGCAGTAGTAGTGCAGTAGTAGTGCAGTTGAGGACAGAGTACTGTAGTGCAGTGAGTACTATAGTGCAGTGTACTGTAGTGGAGTTGAGGATAGAGTACTGTAGTGCAGAGTACTGTAGTGCAGTTGAGTACTGTACAGAGTACAGTTGAGGACAGAGTACTGTAGTGCAGTTGAGGACAGAGTACTGTAGTGCAGAGTACTGTAGTGCAGTTGAGGACAGAGTACTGTAGTGTACAGTTGACAGTAGTACTGTAGTGCAGAGTACTGTAGTGCAGTAGTGAGGACAGAGTACTGTAGTGCAGTTGAGGACAGAGTACAGTAGTGCAGTTGAGGACAGAGTACTGTAGTGCAGAGTACTGTAGTGGGGTTAAGGACAGCAAAATGTTGAGTGTTAAAGTTGACAGATAATGCCGAGTTTTCAAAGAACGGTGGATGACCAATTATTTCTTTGTTCAGAGTGAGGAGTGTGCAGTTTGTGTGATATGTAAAGAAAGTGTGGTGTTTTTCAAAGAATATAATCTGCGTCATCAGGGTCATACAATTCTGTTACACGGCTGACCCGACCTCACCCCCCTCACAGTGAAAAAAGTTTGGTGACCCCTGGTTTTCAGTCTACATTTTCCTCTGCAATCGTACTTCAAACTGTGTTCATTAATTAGTTTAATTATAGTCCATTATTCATTCACTCCACACTCGGTGGCAGTAGGCTATCATTTTAGCCACAGCTGCTCTGGGACACACTGACAGTAGAGATGTTGCCAACCTCCACCACGTTCTTACTAGACAATGTGGGTGAACTGTCTTGCCTAAGGACACAACAATAGTTTTTGCACTCACACACACACGCGTGTTGCCCACCTTAGCAGCTCCTGTATGTCCACTATGTCCAGTATGCCCAGTGTGTCCTGCAGACTGGTGTGGACAGTGTCCCGGGGGCCGGAGCACTCCCAGACCCCCGTGAAAGGCCTGGGTGACCTCCCTCTGTCTGAGCAGCACCAGCCGGTCAAACACCTCCAGGTCCTGAGCCGAGACCAGACCACGAACTTCTGACAGAAGAGACAACTGCAGAGGAAGAGGAGAGAGAACATGACACTCACCATCTGTTCATCTTATTGTGTTTACCAAGCGCCGGGTCGAGAGGGCAGCCGTCAGAGCTCCCACACGTCCTTTCTCACTGGGATGTTCATGTTATAAACTCAGAATATAAATGCATTTTCACAAGACGTTTGAATCGTAAAACACGCCATATACAACATTTAAAGGACACATAGGATTATTTGTTGTTAGCCTCTTCCGTACCTCTGCTTTGGCATCTCACGTTTTAAAACTTCAATTAATATATCTACTGAAACCACACATAACACACATACCAGTCAGGCATTCCCTCATCTGGACTTGGTTTTGGCTTGCAATCTACAAACTAGAGATCTGCACGAGACAAAATTTTCAGTCCCGTTCCCGCCCGCACCCGCCTTGTGCAGTCCCACTCCTGTCCAAGTCCGCAAAGAATTGTAATTTTCATTCCTGCTCCTGCACGCATCTGCAATATTTTGTCCTGCTCCCGCCCACAAATTCCGCAAGATGGGGACGTTCGATTAGCCTGATTCATCAGCCGATTTCACCTCGTAGAGACCGTCTGACCTCGCAGCATTAGAATTTGTTCGCTCAACAGTAGGCAGGTACATTTTTTAAATTAACCAACTGCTGCTATTTGGTCGTGACGTATGTAAGCTTTTCCCAAATCCCGTAGGAAGAAGGACAATAACGTCTTTCCCCTTGATAAAATTCACCAAACATTCTCTTTGTTCCAGCTTTAAATCCTCGGGAATCATTGCCAACACAGAATGTATGGCTCTTCGCTGATTGGCTGGTGCTCGGACTCGCACTTCGGGGGGTCTTGCAAACTGTCTAGTGTATTCTGACCTAGTCGCTGGAGAGAAATGAAATTGAGCAGAGACACTAGCTCAATTTCAGCCTGACTAACGTTCGCTTTCTTTCTCATTAAAAGTCTTTTCATTGGCTCATCAAAGCTCTACCAAACACGGACAAGCAGAAAAGAATTGTCTAAAATGTGCATGAGATTAGACTTAGATACGCAAGTTTATCCCTCTTAAAATGTTTTTATCAATGCCAAATAAAATATCCAACAAAAATAATATACGATAAGCTTACATTATTCATTTGTATATTTTACTTCGCACTCTTATTTAGTTTGCGGGACTGCAGTTTATCATCCCACCCACCCGCTCCCACATTATGCAGTCCTGCTCCCGCCCTCGCCTGCAAATAGCTTTCAAAATGTGTCCCACGTCTCACTGTTTTGCGTCGTGTCCCGCGGGTGCAGAGCTCTACTACAGACTTCAGAGAGGATTATTGTAGAAAAAAGCCTTAATCAGCCTGCTCCAGCATGCTAATACAAGCAGTTGTAATGAACCAGACTCAAACAGCAGACTTTGGATTTCTACCTTTGGAAAAATGTAAGCGATTTTTGAGTGCTCATAAACTAATAAAGCAAGTGTGAATGAAGTAAAATACAACCCTAGGCATGTTTTTGATGAAGAGACCACAATATAAGACGGAAAAGCTCTTTTAAATGGACATGAACTGCTAATTCACAGTGACTGTGAAGTGTTGTCATCCAGACCTTAGCGTGAGTGTTGAAGAGCTCAAACAGAGCCATGATCATAGGCTCCACTGTGATGTGTCCCTGCTGATACTCCTGCAGGTAGTACAGCATGGTCTCCCGCTCCGTCTGGGTCAGTAACATGTAGGCCTGCTGCTCCAGTGACACCTGCAGGCCTGGAGGACCCACGCCTCTGCACCCGCCAGACTGCAAACACACACACAAGAAGAAGAGCACTGAGAAGAAGAAAAGTGTACAGTGTGAGAGAAAGTGCATTTCAGATTGTGTTAGAGGCCTTTTTTGGATTTAAAAGAACCTTAAGAGATTATTTTAAATTGCATAAACATGATTGGTGTCCCCAGAGAGGCAGACGTGTTAAAATTAAATAGTTTTTACTGGTAACAAATACAATGCTGATCTATTCTTAATTTCAAAAACACTGCACATGGCCAAAATCTTTATCTTACAATTTGGTGTTTTGGTTCTCGAGATTATTATCCAATCAGAGATCAGTATGAGCCTCACAAGAGTCTCTCATCTGTCAGTTTCAATTCTGAATCCAGTTGGCAGAGTCCTGCATGGGTCCAATTTTGGAGACCCGCACCCGCGCAATACAGCACCACACTGACCCGTTTACGTGTGATTATATCAAAGTTAATTCCGGTAAATCAGGGTCAGTCCATTAGTGCAACAGCCCAATAGTCCAGGACTAAACCAGGACTAAACCTACACCGTGTCATTACTAGATTATAAATATATACATGCCGCAACCACAGAGCTGACCACCAGGACTACGCCAGGACTGGACTAGGATTACACTAGGACTGAACCAGGACTAAAACAGGACTAAACCAGGACTGAACTGATGCCGTGTCATTAGTGGATTATAAATATATACACACCACAGCCGCAGAGCCCATCGCCAGAACTACACCAGAACTACACCAGAACTACCAGGACTGAAGCAGGTGTAAACAAGGCAAGGCAAGTTTATTTGTATAGCACAGTTCGTACACAAAGTAATTCAAAGTGCTTTACAGAATAAGAAATACATTAAAATCGTAATAAAAACAAATCAAAACATAAATAATCATGAAGATTAAAATTAAAAAAGAGAGACATAAATTGGAGAGAAGAGTGCGGAATGAAAACCTTTCAGTTATATGCACAGTTAAACAGAAATGTTTTGAGCCTGGATTTAAACAGCGTCACAGAAGAGTCTGTCTCACATGTTCAGACTGTTCCAGGTTTTAGCTGCATGAACCTGAAACTCTGACTCCCCTTGTTTAGTTCTGACTCTGGGCACCAGCAGGAGGCCGGTCCCTGAGCTCCTCAGAGTGTGAGATGGTTCATATGACACTAACATGTCACAGATGTACTTTGGTGCTCGGCCATAGAGACTTTTACACAAGCAGAGCTGCTTTAAAGTCTATTCTCTGAGCCACAGGAGCCAGTGCAGAGACCTGAGCACAGGACTTATGTGCTCGTACTTCCGAGTTCAAGTAAGGACCCGAGCTAAAGGGCTAAACCTGTCATGGTTCATGTTTGTAGTGGTTGGAGTTGTTGTTTTTTTATTGACATTTGTTTTCTCTGCTTGTAGTTTTGAGTTTTACTTCCTGTCTTGATTGTTTGCTCCGCCCTAATGTGTCTCACCTGTGTCTCATTAATGTGTGTGCTTCTATACCCTGTGTACTCCTTTGCCCTTGGTTGGTTCATTGTCATTATGACTCTTGTGTCGGTTTTTGATTTTGTGTTTGGCCATTAAACAATTTTGGAAATGCAGTTTTGCATTTTGGGTCCTACTTCTGCTCTAGATGTGACAAAACCAAGACTGAACCAGGACTGAACCAGGACTGAACCAGGACTGAACCAGGACTGAAACCAGGACTAAACCAGGACTGAAGCAGGACTAAACCAGGACTAAACCAGGACTAAACCAGGACTGGACCAGGACTAAACCAGGACTGAACCAGGACTGAACCAGGACTAAACCAGGACTGGACCAGGACTGGACCAGGACTGGACCAGGACTGGACCAGGACTAAACCAGGACTGAACCAGGACTAAACCAGGACTGAAGCAGGACTGAACCAGGACTGAAGCAGGACTGAACCAGGACTAAACCAGGACTTTAACCAGGACTAAACCAGGATACTAAAAAATTCCGAACATTAAAACCCGCCCGTTTCAGCACCTATCTGCGAACACTCGACCCGGTGCAGGACTCTGGCTGCAGGTATGTTTCTGAGGAGGTATTTATTAAATGGAGTCAATTTTGTGTAATATAGGACTTAAAAATGTCCAATCTGACTGCCGCCTATGCACCCAATTTTACACATTTCATGCTTGGTTAAACGTGAAAATACTTCTAGCTACTGTTGTAGAACTGTACAGTCATTCCCCGAGATCATTTTAGTCTTTCTGAGTGCAGTCATTAGAAGATTAAAGCACTTCTAAATCAAGACTCACCCAACACTGAACTCAACACCAACTGTAATTATAAGTGTGTCAGATTTAATCCTGCTCAGCTGTACCAGGGCTGTGACTGGAAATATCTCACCAGGAACTAAAAAGGATTACACTGTTTTTAACCCAGCGCTTTTCTCTTCTTTCTTTTTTTTAATTCCATTTTCAAAACTTGTTTACTTTTTATATCATTTGGAGGCGTGACTGTGTAAATAGTGGTTAGTAAAAAATGCATTTCAAAGCTCATATGTAGAGATCTATTCTGTAGTTTACTGTTTTTGGGACCCCATGGAGACTTGATATTTATCTATTTGGAAAGAAAAACATAAATAATTACAGGTGTTGGGATTTGATGACTGCAACCTTTCAAAGTGGATCATTTATTATAATGAGCTCTAACTCTACATTTGTTATTTGTGTTTGTAGGAACCGCATGTAGTCTACAGTTTTAGAAAGGGTATTATAATCACTGAATCTATAGCTGAGTTTCATTGTTGACAAAAGCGCGTGTTGCATGCTGGGAATTATTTTGGTCGCCGGCAATAAACACTAATTCAACATGACGGACGGAGCGAGAAAGCACGTAAAGGGTATTGATCCCGGTTATTTTCTCCACTCTAACGGCAGAGGACCCAAGACCATTTGACCAGAAATTGGTCATAAGCATCGATGGAGCCAAATCACCCTTTTCAACCCCGACAAAAGGTGGACCAAACCAAATTTCTGGTCAGAATCGCCAACTCCCTGGACAAATATTCACTTGGGCGATATCCACAATGACTTGGTGGAAACTCCTGGGCCATTCACAGCAGAAAAGATGAAAACCTCCAAGAGTCTCGATGTGTTGTTGAACTTGTTGGAGTCCACGGTTTGTTAGGATCTTCTACGTTTGCGAATGTTTGAAAGCCGTTTAATTCACCGTTAGCGGTTCTTTTCACTCAGAATACGAAAAAGACATTTTCCTTCTTCCGTGCTTCTATTTGTGCATCCGATAATGTAGCAGCAGGAATTTACCATTATCGAGGATAAATACACAAGGTTACGCACTGTGTTTGACTGCTACCGTGTTTCTTGCCTCCGACCAAAATTTCCCAGCATGCAACGCGGGCTTTTAATAACAATGACGTCAGCTGAAACTCGCCTATAGTGTCTCGATCTGCAGTTAAAGGACACAAGTTTTTCTCATTCTCAGTATATGGACAGGGTTCAGATTAGAGATTGGCATTTTAGGGTTAAATCAACTGGCAGAGTCCCGCACCCCATCACCCCAGCGGGTAGTGATTACACACGGGTGTAAAAATACTTGATGCAAGTCCAGGGCGTCCGTTGCACTGGAAACATGTGCCATTTCCGAGTCTTTTCCTAGAATGATGACAGACCAGGCTGAGAGAGACTTTAGTGTATTATAAACAGTGTTGGGAGTAACGCGTTATAAAAGTAACAAATTACAGTAATGCATTACTTTTTGCTGTAACGCAGTAATGTGGCATTACAGGGGAAAAAATAGTAATATTTTACTCGGTACAAATGTGAGTAACGCGCGTTACAATGTTTTTTTTAACCTGGATTGAAATGGTGGGTTTTTCTTCATACACAAATTCGCTAAAATCACCTCGATATCAGCAGCGGTGAAACACCGGAGATGCGCCCTCGTAGACCTTCAGGTAACCGCGGGCGAAAGGACCGACAAAGAACTCCACGCTGTTTAGACCTGGTTTAGACCTGGGTCAGTTCTGGTTTAGGCCTGGTTTACACTCGTCCCTCCCTCTATTGCAGTTTACTTTTCGCGGTCTCGCTGTTTCGCAGATTTTTGATTTTTGATTTTTTTTTTGTGCAATTTTGCATGCCCTTTTTTTTTTTTTTTTTACATTGTATGAATGCGTATTGCGTTCCTCCCGCTGCGTCCTGACTGGCCAAGGGACTCCTGTCTCCTGTACAGTACAGTACAGAATGTGTTCAGCTTCCAAATTTAAATACATGTTCAATCTGTAGCAGTGTGATTCTGAAGTGCTGTACGGTTGCAAGTTTTCTCCCCGACGAAACCCACAACGTCGACGAAACGTTCTGCACCGACAAAGTCTCCTGCGCTCACACCCAAAAGACAGAGGAAGATGCAACCATCACACAAAAAGTTGGACTTCTGGACACGTTGAAGGAAGGTAGAAGTTACGCGCTGTAACAGACTCTTGCACCGGCTCGGGTACCTGCAAATAGTTGCTGAAATCAGGGCCGCGAGCCGAGCAGCAGGGTCCATAAAGAGCGATCGGGTGACAGCCGCTCTTACCTCCATGAGGTGCGGAGCAGAGCTGGTCTATACTCCTGCGGTCACCTTCGAGCCCGTCCCTACAGTGAGTCCATGTTTTAATCCTAGTTCAGTTCTGGTTTAGTTCTAGTTTAGTTCTGGTTTAGTCCTAGTTCAGTTCTGGTTTAGTCTAGTTCAGTTATGGTTTAGTCCTGGTTTAGACCTGGTTTAGTCCTGGTTTAGACCTGGTTTAGTCCTGGTTTAGACCTGGTTTAGTCCTGGTTCAGTCCATATACAGCGCAAAGTTATTTTGGTGAGAGTAACTTAAAGTAATGCAATAGTAATGTAATGCCTTACATTTTAAATGCAGTAATATTGTAATGTAACGAATTACTTTGAAATGACAGTAACAAGTCATAAATAACACATTACAGTTTCAAAGTAACTTGCCCAACAGTGATTATAAAGCACATCAGTGGTGGTGATCGGCTCAGTGGCT